ACAAGAGTAAGATCAGAAAAGACTTGATTTTGTTTTGTTTTCAGAAAAAAATATGTATGTTTAATCATATTGGTTCAATGATAAACTAATGACATTAATAACAATTTGTGAAACATCACTTATTCTGAATACAGAATAACTAAAATTCTATACTCCTTCACAACCACTGCCCCACCAAAAACATAAAGGAAAAAGAAAACTGAACAAATGAAATAGCTACTTTTAGATAATGTGCAATAGTCACGCATGTGCTTCATCCACCAAAGGAATTAAATTTGTTTTAGATGTTTTTTGGCTAGAAGCATTTTCTTTTAAGTTCTGAAACAGTATTTTGGTGGGAATGGTTTCTATTTATGATTCATGGGTCTGTTTATTTCCATTGAGTTCATTCTACGTATTTGTTTTATTTATTATAGAAACAAAGTAAATAGGATAAATAAGCATGAAATAACATCATTCTTGAGAAAGAAGTGATACAAAATATGAAGTAAGCTAATTTATAACCCAACTCATTAAATAGATTTATAGCAAATGAAATTAATGGTTTTCTTTTGCAAAGATGTGTTTACACAGGAATGTATTAAATATAATTGTAATAAGAAATAACCTAGTAGGGTATAGTAATATTTCTGGGTTAAGGAGACCAAATTGGTATTCAGAACCATTAAGGTTAATAGAATAATGACAAGGTGAAAAGGAGAGGGAGAGAAACAAGCTCCAATGGAAAGAAAAAGAAACAGAACAAAGAAATGCACAGCAAAAGCAGCAAAACACACACATACACACGTGTACAATATACTATGCACAGATATCTTTGAATGGGTTCCTGAAAATCTCCAGGTGACTACACAAAGCCAGAGCTCATACAGTGTCAACATCTCAAACACAGTGCATTTAGTACAGCATCAAAAAGTCCCACATTTTGGTCTTGCTGTCCTAGCCCCATCACAACTCACTCAGACTCACACTAGCAAGGGTATCCCAAAATGTCTGCAAATTATCAGGCTGGCCAGCAAGCAACTTTAGCCTCTGCAAGGACAACGTCCAACAAGAATTTAAAAATGATCTATATTCAATAGGAATTTACCAACTCTTTGAAAAACTAGAAAATATGACTCATAATCATGGAAAATAAGTGAACAGAAACAGACACAGAAAAGATATTATGGAAACCACTGAAAAAATAAGTTGTTAATCATGTGCTTCTGGATTGAAGAAAAAAATCAATATATTGAGAAATAAATAGAACATATTTTATAATGAAATTTGTTGAGCATCAAATGTGTGAGATGCATATCTCACTGGAAAATACAGAAAAAAATAGATAGTGCAGAAGAAGAAAATCAGTGAGCTTGAAATATTATCAACAGGGGGCTTGGCGCAGTACCTAGTGGCTAAAGTGCTTGCCTTGCATGCACCAGGATCCCATATGGCTGCTGGTTCTAATCCCGGTGGCCCCGCTTCCCATCCAGTCTCTTGTTTGTGGCCTGGGAGAGGAGTTGAGGATGGTGAATCAGTGGATGGAAGATCTTTCTCTCTGTCTCTTCTCCTTTCTGTATATCTGCCTTTCCAACAAAAATGAATAAAATCTTTAAAAATATCTCAACAGATCATGTCTAGACACTGAGCAGAAAAGTCAAGGAAATAAAATCAGAGTGGGCCAGTATATGCACCCATCATATTTACAATTATTTTTGCAAATTGAGGAGGAGCTGCATAAAGTACTTAAGAAAATAGCAGCTAGGTTTGTTTTGTTTTGTTTTTACCAAATAGGGAGATTTTTTTTTTAATGTTCAATGCATCTGAAGGAAGATGAAACCCAATTAAAAACACACTAATATGCAAGTAAGTTATAGGAAACAGTTATAAAGAAAATATGTATTAAACCACAAGAAGTAAAAACACACATTATCTCCTTGTAAATTGTCAGAAGGATTGCAGGCAACTCATCAGAACAAAAAAAGAGAGAAGAAAGAAACAATGGAGCATATTTTGTGCTTCTAGAAAATAAAACCAAGCCAAGCAAAAGAAAATCCTCAACTTACACAAATAAAACAAACAAAAAATCCTTCAAAAGTAAAGATAAAGTTTCAAGAAAACAAAGTGTTGGGAATATTTATCAGCAATCTTATACTTCTAAATAACACATCAATCACAAAAATGACATATTAAGCTAATCAGAAAATATTTTGACTCAAATGAAGATGCAAACACTGCAAGCTCAAATTTAGAAAAAGCTAACATTGCAATTGAAAATAAATTTATTACTCTAATTTATTACATTTTCAAAATGAGAAAATTTAATGATCCGTATCTCAAGTCACCTAAGAAAATTAGAAAATCAGCTAACGATAAGGCTGTATAAAAGAAATGATAAAGCTAAGACAGTAAGTTTCTTCACAACATTCATTAAAATTGATATAATTCTTGAAAGAGATATTAAGTATAGCACAAAAACACCATTTCATTAGTAATGCTACTACTGAAGTAGGATGCCAATATTATGAAATTTCCTTATGCAGAAATTTCTATTTCTATTAAAACATTAATATATTATTTATATCGACATGTATATCAGTATTTATATTTATACAAAATATTTATATTGAATTTATCTTAAATTTTAATGTTCATATTAAATAATTCAGAAATGTCCCATTATCTACTAGAGTTTTAACGGACAGGGAAAAATCTACTTCTGGTTAGCATCATTAGTTCATTCCATGAACCGCTGAATAAATTAACTGAAAGCATACGCCAAATTTCAGAAAGCATAAAGTCAACATTAGCCAAATGCCAAACCCAGGCTTAGGCATTACAAGAATGCAGTATATCTAGGGTGCCATTGTGGCTTCGTAGATGGAGATGGCGTTTACCATGCCATCGTTGGAGGTTAATTCCAGCCCAGCTTGCTCTGCTTCTGATCCATCTCATTTCAAATATGCCTGAGAAAGCAGTGGATATTTGCTACCCATGTGCAATTTCAGGCTCTTGATTTCAGCCTTGTCCAGCTCTGTTTCAGGCCTTAGATTTATTGATTTGAAAGGCAGAGTGATGGAGAGAGTGATAGAGGCACAGTTAGAGGCAGAGAAAAACCTTCAGCTTGCTGGGTTGAAGGTCTCTCTAAAGGGGTGTAATGCCCCAAGCTGTGTCTATTTGGAGCCTGGAACCAGGAGCTTCTTTCAGTAATCCATTTGCCTTTGCTTTTCTCAGTCTACAGGAAAAGAGCTAGATTAAAACTGGAGCATCTGGAGTATGAAATGGTGTCCAGGGAGAAAGCCAGCCTTAGAACTGGTGACTTCATTCACTATTCCAAAGTGCTGGTCCCAAATAAACATATCTTCCAGGAAGTAAAGAGGAAATTCTCTGATTTTGAATTTAAATGTAAAATATCTAGATATTAGAAAATCAAAAGTAGCTGTTATTCAAAGGATGCTGCATTATAATTACATGAAGTTTTCCCAAGATTTCCATTGTTCCTACAATCCACTGATTATTGTAAGTTGCCACATTGCACTGACCACAGTGAATTTAGAAGAATTGCATTTGATAAAATTGAAAAATAGTAATAAACTAAGAAAATTTACTCGGCAATGCAAATATAGAAAAGAAAGCCGTCAGATTGACAAATGGTATCCAGCCCGCAAAATTACACCAATTGACACAGCTTTTCCCAAGGACTGGGAATGAACTTTTTGAACAACATTGTCTTAGAGGAATTTATAAAATACATAAGAAAATGTTCTTGGGCCCGGCGCGGGGGCGCAGTGGTTAAGGTCCTCGCCTTGCACGCCCAGGATCCCATATGGGCGCCGGAACTAAAAAAATTTGTTATGATTACAAATATAAATCAGTACAGAAAATTATTCTCCAATACAAAATTATATAGCGCTTTGAAATACCATTTAAAAATAGCATCAGAGGTGGACGTCTTACTCAGTGGTTATAATGTATCTTGAGAGAGCTGCAATTTGTATCAAAACTCTACTTATGATTTCAAGTACAGGTGTAGAGTCCCCTTGGAGGCAGCAACTGATGGCGGTAAAGGTTGGGTTTCTGCCGCACGGTGAGAGACCCAGACTGTGTTCTGGGCTCATGACTTCATCTTGGCTCAGCCTTGTGATTGCAGACATTTCAGAAAAGAAACAGCAGATAACAGAGTTCTCTTTGTTGTTGCATTGGTCTGTCTGTCTCTCCCTGACTTTTTTTTCCTGTCACAAAAGTAAAAGTAAGGTAAACATTTCAATTATAGATGATACAATAACCTCAGTGTCCAATATCTAGGACATATACATAAATCCTCTAAAATGAAAGTAATAAAATATGGGTGAAGGAAGTTTAAACATAAATGATATTGGCATACACGGGTGTGTTCATACATGGGAAAGTTTCCCCAAGTAAATTTGTAGATGCAATATATTTATTAATATTGCTTATGATTTTATTAAAGCAGTTTTTATAAAAATCAGCAGTATCTCAAATTCTATTGAATCCTTCACTAGTTTTTTTCACTTCAGATTATTTAATATTTCTATATCTTTGTCTATAATTTTTGAAAATTATATAACATGCCCATGATTTTTATGCCTCACTGGACACCACAATCATAGTTTTAATCACTACTATAATGTCTTTATCCTTGTGTTACATCATCTGTGTCAACTCTCTCTTGTTTTTATTAATTAATGTTCTTATCCAGGATTTTTGTATCTTATGAGTGCCATCTCATTTGGTGTTGATTAATTTTTCTTCTTTTGAATGTTCTGAAACGCAATAAAAATATGGGAAAATCTGCATTTTATAGACAAAAAGGCTTATTTTTATGTAGAGAGAATATTTTGTTCAAATGAGATAGTGTGGGGAAAAACTGAGAAATGAATGACAGTTTAGCTGGTGCCCAGCACAGCACTTGCCAAACAGTGGCCACTGGGTAACTGTTGGCCTGATTCTTGACTAATGCATGGCAGACAGCTATTTATGGTGGTGTTTTTGGTTTACAGAGTATTTTCTATTGGAAAGCAATTCTGTGCTAAAGGAAGTTGTCTTGAGGAAGAAGATTGTAAAGTCAGAAATTAAAATCCTCCACATTGACGACTATGGTAAAGTTTTGTGCATGCTACGTTTCTCAAGAATATCTTTCGCTACAACTTATAGCTATGCATTTAAACAATTCTCCGTCTTTAATATTTTGCTCTTTCTTTAAAAGAACTTCCTTTACAGTTATCCTTTCCCAAAGATTTTATGGACCGAAACCAGTATGCTCTTCTGCTAATCATGTAAGTATTTTACTATTTTTGAAATCAGACAATATAAAGCTTTTATAAACTTGCTAATGCCTTCTGTGATAGCATTCTGATCAGAATAACAGCTACAACCCTGTGTGTACACTCTATTGAGGCAGGTGTGGCTTGCATGAGATCCACTAGGAAACTCTCAGTGAATATCTGCTGAGATCAGTGATCTGTTGTACTTTCTGCCTCCCAAATAGAGTGACATGTTAACATGGGGAGGAATCCTAAAGGGCATGATTTATGGATTGTCTTCCTGGTAATTATGTGGTTGAAGAAATAAGCAGAAATTCATGATGTTTCCTTGTTAGAGGCAAGGCCAGCAAGAGGCAGCTCTCATTTTCATAAATGCTGGATTCTCTTTTTTTCACCTTGTCATTGACTTTGGTGTTTAATTTGCTCTATTTTCAGTGAAATTATAGTCTTTGTAAGTAATACTGGACACAGAAGCCCCGAACATATCATGGATAACTATCTTGATATTGATTTAGCTGTATATTCCTGAGAGTTCCTATTTTCTGTTTTAAGAACCCAGGTAGCATTATATTGCAGTGCTTAAAATCATCTAGAATTACATCTAGAGTCTGCGTGGGAGAACAGAAAGGAAATAACATTATTCCCTGTGATTACAGATTGTAAAGGATAAGTAATCAGTTTATGAAATTGTGCTGCATGAGTTCCAAGTTGAATTTCACCATTCCCTGGCTGGTTGTCCTAGGGAAAGTTATTTAACTTTTGCAAAGCTCAGTTACTCTAAGTATTAGATAATTATTACTACAGAATGCATGTTTCAAAATTGCTTTAGATTAAATGAAGTGCATCATATAAAGTTTTTTGTACAGTGTCTCACACATGATTCATATAATGATTGGGATTATAATCCATTCTCTTTTGCATAAATAGCACCATGTTTATTTGAATATTTTCTTTTTAAAAATTTATTTACTTTTTAATACCATTGTATTATGTGACAGTTTTATAGGTACTGGGATTCCCACTACTCCTCCCATAACCCTCACCCCATGGTGAATTCCTCCACCTTGCTGCATGAGCACAGTTCAAGTTCAGTTGAGATTCCTTCATTGCAAGCATATACCAAGCATATTTCATATTTTTTTTGTGATACAGATTGAGGACCATAGCAATACTTTCTATCCTACCCACCCTCCTGCCCATATTTCCCACACACTTCCTGATTTATCTTATCCTGGTTTTCGCAATGGCACATCCCCCCCCCCTTTTTTTTTCACAATCCCAGGCTTAATACTCTATTAGGTGAAAAAATCAATACCTAGAAAGTAGGAAAAAAATCACCTGCTGTTTATTAGAAGTGTAGACATTGGCTAGAAGCAGTAATCACATTCCACTCATATAGATTAGATCAATGTGCTTTTTTGTGTTGGTTATCACAGATCATAGAAAGCATATGAAATTTGTTTTGGTTATTGGTTTTTTTTCACAAAGCATAATAGTTTCCAATTGAATCCATTTAGTTACAAAAGAAGTATTTCATTCCTTTTTATGCCTAACAATATTCTCTAGTATGTATGTGATTATGTATAGTATCTATGTATCTTTATGTTTTGAGATAAAGGCATCTAAAAATTGCTATAATTTTCCAGATATATACATATGTATATATGTATACATAGACACATGTGCATACATATATGTGTATATTTTCTTCTACATATACATACACATTTATGAATATGCAAATATATATGGTTTTGTTTATACAGTCATTAGTTGATGGGCTTCTCTGAGTTGATTCCATGATTCCATATCTTGGTTATTGTGAATTAAGCTACTATAAACATGAGGGTACACATGATTTTCACGTATGCCGATTTATTTTCCTCAGAATCAGCTGGGGCTTGATCATACTATTTTCAGATTTCTGAAGAATGTCTTTATATATCTTCCATTTCAGTTACACTTGTTTATATTCCCACCAATAGGACTTCAGTGTTCCTTTTCGCTTACATCCTATTCAGCATCTATTGTTTTTCTGATTTTAAAATATTTTCATGTATAACAGCATAATTTTCCTTCATTTTAAAAAGTCAGATAAGGACAGAAGTAGTGATAAATTCCTTCTGTCAAGTCTGTGTTTATTCCTGATTCTACAATTTGGCTCCATGCATTTTTTCATTTCTGCACGATTCTCCTTTATCTCTACTTGCCAGAAAGATCTAACGATTCTTGCTGTCTTTACATCTCTTCTTTCACCTAGTTTTCTCCTTTTGGATTGATCTAAAAGTAAGATTTACTAGGGAAAGGGACCCTAGGCATCCCTCTTTGCCTTCTTTTTCTTCCAAATGGAAAGTGGAAGAGTTGGCTGTGGTTAAAACATGGCTCTCCACATGAACAGATGAGCAGGAGTACATGACACTTGCGTATCTCCTAGCACTAAAGGTGTGTCACTCGTTGGGTCAAGAGTGACATACTGTCGTCTTAGAAATGCCAACAGGCTCATCTGATGTCTGCTGTGGTCAGCTTGTTTTAGTTTGTGAGAGGAGAAGATGTACAAGAAATCTATTTGAGTATTTTTCTTGTTGAAATGGATATTAGGGTCCTTTTTAGGGTTAGGATAGTAAAGATTCTGATTTTAAAATTAAGTGATGCATGATTCAAATCAAAATCTACTTAATCTCTCTATGCTGCTGTGACCTTATGAATAGTTTAGATCTAATGTGTGAAAACAAACATAGAAGGATATATAGGTAGATAGATATACATACATACATATATCTGCATAAATCTGTTATTGTACTGTTTGGTAGGCCATAAACATTTCCACATTATACTGAGTTAATTAAAAACATAAGCATAATTTTCATTGTAGGTGATACCGCTTTTAAGTATATAAATGTACTAATATAATATGTAATTTAGGATCCATATATTTATTCAACGCATGATACCACTCATTCTGATAAAGCAGTACAACCAGCCTCATAAAATTTATGTGGCTGCTTTCATTTCTTTGAAGAATGAAAAGAAGTGCTAGAGAATGTCTAGTTATTTGTGCTTGTACATATTGCTTTTATTAAATATTAACTTATTCAAATTGCTTGGGTCTTCAAAGGTAAATTCTCAGGAGCTGTATATGATATAAAATGAAAAGCAAGCCAAGGATATTTTGTACATTTAATGTATAAAAAACTCTTTTAAATGATTTGATTATAACTGAGATATTTATGTTTGAAAACTTCTGTGGAACAAAATAACAGAAGTACAAAGTGATTTTTAAAAAAAAAATTTTAATGGACTGTAATTTAAATGCATACTTTCATTCTTCAGATTAAATCCTTTTTCAGCAACAAAGTGACTTTCGAGTCTGAAAATAATAATTACTGAAACGGTTTGTAAATGATCAGTTTGAGAGTGAAGAACAAATAATGCACTAATAAGTTGTGATTAAAAACATTAATTATAAATTAATACAACAGCTAACAGTGACTATTGCTTAAGTGAGATTATTGGTTGGTTCAGCTGTTTTGATGTCTCCTGTTTGCCTTTATTCTGTGCTGTGTATTGAAAAACAAGGAACTAAGCCATCAGTAGAGTTTGCATCTAACAAAGGATTCCATGATGAACAAAATATTTAGACTAATCAGGGCAGTGCCTTAGAGACTGAACAAAGATGGAGCCTTGAACAATAGATCTCTTGTAATTTGGAAGAGGAAGGCATCATTTACACATCATAAGAAACCTAAGAAGCATTTCCCTTACCGTGGGTTTTGGTTGCCTTTGTTCTCTATGAAGTCTTGATCTCTTGCACTTGAATTGCTTGTCCAACTCCACCCTCATTTGTCACATTCAGCAGGAAATTGAATGGAAGTACAGCATCAGGAACTTGAACTTATGTGGGAGGCAGCAACACTGGAGGAAGCTTTATTGCTGCCCCATAGTGCCGACCAACCCCACTGCTTATCTCTTGAATTTCATCTTATGACAGACACTTTTACTTCCTTCTGGGAACTGTGCTTCCTTAATCATGCTTATATATTTTTAACACTATCTTCCAAGGCCTTGAGTTTCTTTACCTATTCTCTCCCAAGGAATTCCTATTAATTCTTCATGATCTATTTCCAGATAGTTTTAACGGCAGTTTTATTGCAAATGTATAACAACATCAGAACACAGTTCTGATTAATTAATTAAATTGTAAATTAATTGAGTCCTGTTGTATGCTATGCTAAGAAATTATTTTTTTGACTGTTGTAGAATAAATGGCAGGAGTATTTAAGATAGCAGGGCTACATTTTGAGATACATGTTAATTAATTGGTACAATTAAATAAATAAATTAATTAATCAATTTTCTGTCTTTTCCATTAAACTATACAATTTTTTGTTAGTGAAAACTCCTTTGGTATGGGTGATGTTTCATTAAACTAACTGGTACATATTTTTTGTATTCGCTGAGTATTGAATGAGGAATGAATAAATAATCAAAGAGTGATTAGATACTAATTATAAACCTGTTATCAGTTAATGAAGGAAGCAAAGATGAGAAGAGAGAATCCAACAAATATTTGAAAGTTATTATTTATATAAAGCTAGTCTTTTGGATGATTCACTTTCTCTGCAGTTTAAATTCTCATTCTGCAAAATACAAGGTGAATTTCTCATTTTTCTTATGCTGCATCTTCATAATGTTGGCTATTGTGGGATGTTTATTGGGGGTGTATTTTGTTAGAGGTGATTTATGTTTGAGTGTTATATGTGTGTGATATGAGGATTATGAGATATTTTGTATAGTTGGTGTGGGTGGGTGATGGATTGGTAATTTTTGTGTAGGGGGGGGAATGTATATTAGGAATATGATTGTATATGTTTAAATAAGTTGATATTTTGAATTTTATTATGGATGGGGTGTTTTAAAGGTATATATAAGAAAGAATTTGAGGATATAAAAAATTTAAGGAAATGGAAAATGTTTGTGGGTGAATAAAAATTATAAATTAATTTTGTGTGATG